CACCCACGGCTTTTTACGGCCTCACCAATGTAAGTGAGTCTTCTCATATTAGTCCCTCAAATCTTTCATATGTGGAATTAGTCTCCAAGTCTTTCACATTTGAACTCAGTCCCCCAAATCTTCATATCTTGCAATTAGTCCTCTAAATCTTTGAAGTACTTGAAATTACACTTCGATTAATAATGGTTAATAAGGGGATGGGTAATTAGCAAATCAATCAAAATCAATATGAAAGTGCAATTTTAAAAAAGAGACTGAACAAGTATGTTGATTCAACAATGACTGCATATGTTGAAATGATTTAAGTATTCATGAAATTTCTTTTTTTGTTAACCTTTTGCTTACGTTCTTCTTTCATCTACATACCTATATGAAAGTTAATTGTAAATTGTAATATTTGATCGCCTTTTGATTGATTCATAGTGTAATGGTTGTAGTTGCCCCCTGCCTCCGCCACTGTCCACATTCCACTTCATGGTTACTGCTAATCACATGGTCAATGTTTGGGTTTGCATCATTCCCTTTTGTGTCTGCAGCTTACTTATCGTTAGATGATCAGCTTTAAACTTAAGGAATTTGATTCTATCTGAGATACAAAGATATTAAAGTAGTAATCCCCACTTGTGTTATCTGAATTTTCCCTGTGAACCATTTCTGTGATCTTAAAACGTTTCCCGGACAGGATTATTTGTTGTGGTTTGAAAAAATTTCATAGAACTATTTGTTGTACTTCTGACATTTTCTTAATATTGTAGTCATGTACTGTACTGTATATCTTATCATATTATTTTTGTCTTCTTGCATCCTTTTGTAGGGACTATCAGAGCAAGCTATAAATGCATTTAGAGTAATGAGAGCAGATGGAATAAAACCTAGTATTTTAGTTCTGAACTCTTTAATTAATGCATTTGGTGAAGATCGAAGGGAGGCTGAAGCCTTTTCTGTACTGCAATTTATGAAGGAAAATGTATGTATAGTCATGTAGTTTATGCATCCTTCCCGCAGGCGTAGTCCCATTAATCGGCTCTTTTCATTTAAATTTTTTTTTTATTGTAGGATATAAAGCCAGATGTTGTGACGTATACAACTCTTATGAAAGCTTTAATCCGCGTTGAGAAGTTTGAAAAGGTAACAACCAATATACTACTCTACTGCTAATCTTTAAAGCACAGGTAATTGCTCGAATATGTTTCAGATACTTGGGTGTTAAGACACTTGATACTTCGATGGATATTTGCTATGTACCCAAATTTAGGCATATTCAAACATATTTCTACAAACAGCGATGGAAAAACAAAAGGAAAACTTAAAAATCTAATAAATGTAATAATGTTTACAGATAAATATGCTTTTGAGATATATTAATATAGTTTGATGTCTTTTTTAATAGGATAGGATAGAGGTTTCCAGGCAAAGATTATTATATAATTTGAAAAATGACTATCCAAAGCTATATTGTTCTACTGTTAATAATTCATGTTTCTGATTAAAAAAACCAACACAAACCAAGTACCTGTCAATTTCTTTAAGTTGCAATTTCATTGTATTACCAAATGAAATATAGCCGATAACTATCTTTGTAAACACATTCTTAACTTAGACAATATGATGCTTTAACTAGGCTTGCTCCTGCTGTCTGATAATCTTGCCTTACCCACTGCGGTAGCTTTTCTCAGCCTTATCTGTTTACGTTGGAAGGTGGGAAATGCAGCTATATTAATTCTTCTGTCAATGACATTATAAATAAAAAGTCTATCAACTCAAGCCCTTCATTGAAACCTATTCGAGTATCATATATTACCAGTAAGGTGTGTGAGAGACTTGTCATGCTATGATACATTATATCATTACAATATGCTTGCCATCAGTGGATTGGAGTGGATATATTTGCGTTACTTGATATGTACAGATAATATATTGTAGTTAATAAGGTAGTCTTTCCTTTAACAATTGAACTGGTTTGATTATCATAGATTTACTTAACATCAGCGGTTTTTAATGGTTATATTATATGGTATGTAGATATGTGTATAAATATTTTCTTGATTAACAATCAATAGGTACCATCCGTCTACGAGGAAATGATTTTAGCGGGATGCAATCCTGACAGGAAAGCTAGAGCTATGCTGCGTTCGGCCCTGAGATACATGAAGCAGACGCTGAGCTCATAGCATATCCAGAACAAGAATGTTAGTGAGCAAGAACTACCATTTCTTGACTAGGGTTCTGGTTGATCCCATCAAAGGTCAGGACCTTAATCCTTTAGGATATATATTGGATACTATTTTTTATTTCGATACAACTATGAATAGTGTTATGCAAATTTAATATGACTTATATGTCAGAATTTATACATCAGTTAGATTTGATTAGGAAGTCCTTACGATTGTGTGTGATGACTTTTTTTGTATTAATCTGCTTCCTTGGAGGAAACCTACGGAAGCCGCTCTTCTTCTGTTTCATGTTATGCGGTGAAAAAAATTGTGTACTCTGTCTAGTTCCTTCTTTTGTGCATCAAATAAAACATGACAGCAAGAAAGGGTTCTTGTTTGGAATGAGGGAACCAGTATAACCTCTACTTAGTCCATACATAACATCTGAAATCCACTAAGTGTTAGCTGCAGTCTGCAGGCTGTCACCTTGTCAAGCTTTTTGTATTTTTTCCATTATGAAAGTCAACTGTTAAATGACATTGACATTATGATTTGTGAGCTTTTCCATATTATAGCCATAATATTAAAATTAATATTTTATTAAACATGTTCACTTACAGCTTTGTTTCTACTTCATATGGGAAATTTACATGTTTAATTGCAGTTGTCATCTTCTCCATTTATTGATCACTTCTTTCCAGGAGTTACTGAAATCATGTATTTTCCATGTTGGAAGGTGCAAAGGTGCTAAAGATTTATATCTCATCATTAATGATATATCTGGAAGAATTTTAGATGTAGAAGCATTCCCAACCATCCTCCTAAAATGTGGTGGGGAAATGCCTAATACTGTCTAGGATATTTATCAGGACTTGTACCTTTAAGATGCAAGTGTGCTTTAACTACACGAAATCAAGATTGTTTTTAAATTTTAAATAAGAGCGAGTCTAGTGACTGCCCAATCTCACTTGCCTTCTCATTCGTCCATGTCTCCCTTCTTTTGACTTGGTATTGTTACCTGGTTAAAAGGGTAAGTTTGCATACAGCTTGCAAGGAATGATAAAAGGTAAATCTCATGTAACCCCCTAAATTTTGTTTATTCTCCTTAACCCTCATGAACTTGTCTCACTTAACCCCCTAAGGTACCGTTTGGCAAAGGGTTAAGTGAGGGGTTAAGGAGACTTAACTCCTTCTTAACCTGTCAAACACAACAAATCTATATAAGGGTTAAAGTGAGTTAACCCTCCATAATTTGCCAAACATAAAAAATATAGAAGGATTAAGTTAACCCCTCTAGAGGAGTTAAAATGAGTTAACCCCTCAAAATGAGGGGTTTACTAATACTCCTATTTAGATGGAATAAGAGTTAACCCTTCTAATTATAAAAAAAATAGTCAAAATCATTGTTATTCCCAAACACTAAAACTGATCATAAGGGCTAAAATAAAACTTATTTAACGGGTTAATAATTTAGTCCTTTAGATTATCAAATGGGCTAAGTACATTAATCCTTCTCTTTAACCCTTCTTCATTAACCCTTTGCCAAACGGGGCCTAAAGTAATAACATAAACTTTGTGGTGTTTTGCACATACCCTCCTGAATTTTGTTTATTCTCCTTAACCCCTCATGAATTTGTCTCACTTAACCCCCTAAAGTAATAACATAAACTTTGATGAGTCGTATGTCAAGCATGTGACAACAAAGACAAAACCCCTAAGTTTATTAAAATTACCCTTTATCATTTTTCCAACATTTTAGGATTTCAAGAAGACATTTTGGTCATTTTAATTAACATGTAACCCCGTCGGGGGTGGGGGGGCATTGTAAAAACTTCAAAGTTCAAGAGGTTAAGTGAGACACCTCAGTGTTCAGGGGTGTTAAGAGGAATAAACAATTTTCATAGGGGTATATGCAAAACTCCCCAAATTTCAGGGTTTTAAGGGAAATTTACGTAAGGAAAGACGAAGGGGGAGGAAAGCAAAACACATATTTATCACGGGTAGGGTACCCATTTCAATTGACAAGTGGGGACACCTGGAGGAATGAGAAAATGAGTGAGGATAGGCAGTTGCTTTAAATGACTGCCACTAGACTCTGCCTTAAAATAAATATCATGAACATTGCTGTTCCTGGCTATCTGTTTTTGTTTGGTTTCTTTCATTTTCTAGGAGGGTCATGAATCAACTTAAGATGCTATCATTTCCTAGGAGGAATGAGCAAGCGTTTTTTTTCCCGTGTAAGCCCAAGATGACCCGATTTCCACAATTATTTCACAAGAGTCATAACTTCTCGGTTCCACTTCAGGACGAAGATTGTGTGCTGGTGTTTAGAAATGTCATCACACAAAACAAGAGTCTACTACCATATAAAAAATGCATCCAAATAGTTAGTGATCTTGTCGGATCTATAAAAACCTGCAAATTGGTTCATCTGTATGACTTTTGTGAAATTTACTTCTCCAAACTGAGGAATATATACAATGAAACCTGAACATATTCTCTATGTTCTTTCCACTAAACAACAGTATTAAAATGCTTAATTTTCTAAAATACTTGCAGTAACCATGTTTTTATTTGACATCCATGTCACTACTCAAAGATACAAAATGAACTGCTTGTATTACCTTTTGTTCAACGAGCTGTTGTAGTTAGCTGATGTGTATAAGGAGGAAAAAAACGCTTAAAATATATTTTGGAAGCACTCTTGTTGAGCTTTAAATCTTACTTGGTATGAGATCTAAAACAATTTGCTTATTCATTACCTTCTTTTCCTTTCTACAAAGAGTACTTCACAGGAAATTGCCTTTTGTTGTCTTTGACAGGGAAGAGTCATGAGCTAGTGGAATATAGAGGAGATGCTCCTGAAGAAATTGACCCATACTTATTCTTTTTTGAACAAAAGTGATCATAAACTTGAAGCTCCACAGAAACATTCAGACCAAGAGGTCAGTGTACCCTTTCCACACTGCCCACTCACGAAAATGTTTGTATGATGTATGTGCATATGTATTTATTAATATTATTTTAAATTCCGGTAAGCAATTCAATCCATCTTCAACGTCTCCTCTTCAATGTATACCCCAACTGTGGTATGTATGAAGATTGACAGTGATGTCCTTAGGTTATGTCCGTACTTGGTTCCGTTCTTTGCTTCTACGAGAGCTTACTGCTAACTGCTACTGTTGGCTTTTAGCGGGGAAGAGTGATCAATTGATGGATAGTAAGAGCAGATGCTTGCTTAGAAATGGATCAATATTTACAAGATTGTGACTTAAGAAATTCATTGTCGGTTTTTGTATGTCACATGTTTAGCATAGGAGAAATATTAAACACGGTGTTGACTTGTGCTCAATCTGTATTTTATTCATATTACTTGATTGAGCCATCTATGAACAGGCACTTGATATAAATTATCACCATTATGTTGTAATTGTTGGAACATCCCCTCTTCAAGTTTTGTAATTGTGGCCGTCTGCCTGTTGGTAATAAGCCGATGAATCTCTGATTGACAATATTTGACAAGTTGAGGACTTGAGACCAAATTTTGAGGCATGTGTAATTAAGTGCACATCTCATGCTTGAATTTTCATTGCTATGAACTTTTCATGTCGCTACATGCATGCCTGATTTACCATTGCTGTGAACTATCACAGAAATGGTCATTTCTCTCAGTTTGTCCTGAATTGGAGAAGAAAATTATACTTTTGATAACACACATGCATGACTGCTGGCTATTCTATCATTTTTATACAACTTTTGTATCGGAGGACATCTTTCTCTCTTTTTCAGTTGTATGTTTTACACCTTTGGCAGTTGCGTTCCAATATATGTACCTTGTTCTTCGCATTTGTATCTCACTTGAGAACATGAGAACTCAACATGATTACTCCCCATGCTATCTTGCATCAAATATGCAAAGCCAAGTAAAAGAAGAGAGAAAAAAACGTGTATCCGTTGCATGCCTATAGCTCGAGAGATGACTTGTCGATGGAGCATGATCATTCAGCTTCGACTCCAATGGACTTTTAACTAAAGAATTTTGGTTCTAGATTTCTCTTAGTGGACTAAGTCTCATTAAGTGGTTTCTATTCGCATAAACTTTAAACGAAAACAGTTGGTTTTCGCATAAAATGGAGGGTTGGATCCATGTATGGTGGAAAAACTTGATTAAGTAAGATCTTACTAAATCAAAAGGTGCAGGGAAATGAAAGGAAATGGATGGTGGAAGACTAACCTCAACAAGAGCCATGGAAGCTGGTCTTTTAGTGTGTTTCCCACCATCAACAGCATTGAGATATTCTGAGTACTCATCATTAGTGCATCATTCTCAAAATTTGAAATATTCATGATCAGAAACATTACTGGATCAGATCCATGGAAAGTTAGTTATACGTGAAATGGGTCATGACCCATGCTTCAAGTTGACTCGGCCCAACACATAAATCATTAAGGATTTGGCTTGTGTTTGAACCCAAATTGGATTGATTCATGATTAATAAGCACATTCTGATGAACGTGTTTCTTGCTTAGAGGAACTGGCTAGGACTGATCTGATTTGGCCACTATTTTCCCACTGAAAAACAAAGATATGCTAGTCTCTACTAGTTTAGTACAATGGTTGGTCATAGTATACGTCCCCTTTCAAACTTGGGGACTAAATTCACCGACTTCTGCATGGAAAACTTAAAAATAATGCAAGTACAGTCCAAAACCTAAGCCCACCCAGTATATCCTGGTTAGGTTTCCTGGTCTTGGTGTGTATAAATCTCTATCGTAAGGAAGCAGAGCCTTTTTCATGCTAGGTTTTGATATCCCTAATTCTAAGATTCGACTCTTCTTCAGGTGTTGTTTTTTTGTGATATTTATGCGTAGATCTCTTCACAGATGAGCAGTTAATCAATGCTATGATCTTGAAACATGCGCGTAAGATAATGATATCGACATTGTGTATAAAAATGTCTATGATTTCAAATGGTTGATATATAAGTAGATTCCGCTAACATGCATGTTCTTTTAGAATTCTGTTATTTTCTCTTTCTAGTTTATACATAAACATGGGTTCACCTCATGTCCAAACACATGCCTAACCTTGTATTATTAGCCTAATCACTTTAGTTAAGCAAGGTCAATGCGATTTGAACATATATATTATCATCTGTCACGCTCATTTGTCTTTCACTATCTAAAGCACAAACATAAACCTCTTATCCAGGCAACTTGACCTCATCTTAGTCATCCATACAATATTCAAGTACCCTAAAGAGGGTACTTACAAGATTAGGTTATTCTTACTTCACCGAAAGGATCATAAGTCCACGAGTTGCACATCTCCAGAGACTGAGAAATCAAGCTCTTAACTAACAACCTAAGCAGGATGTTGCAACCCTTTATCCTTGAACGAAATCTGACCAAATATTGCATATTTAAAGGAGCTGTTTAAACCAACTATCCCTAAATTGGCAAAGGCAAGGCTGAAGGCAGTTGAGACCTCAATATAATACACCATCGGAGTCTCTCAGAGCAGTTACAACCTTTGGTTAGATTACATTGGACCTTGTCTCTTAGGCTTAACTAATACTGTCTCTTGCATGTCTTGGTATAAGAACTAAGGTCATGATCTTTTGTCTCGCGTTGATATTAATAGACTTTCTCAACTCAGCTTCTTTGCAATCTTCATACTGAATATTCTTTGCTCATATTATAAAGAAGATTTGGTAGTCTGTTCTTTGTTGTCATCTGACTCATCTTGTTTTATAGTTGTTGATGGCTCACTTTTTCTTTTTTTTCTTTTTCTTTTTCTTTTTTTTTTCTTTTTTGGCATAATATGCAGCAAAAGATACAGTTACTAAACATCTTAATCCTAAGAATACTTGGTTATCAGAGGGAAGCCCTACATACTATAATTAAGCATTGTATTACTCATACATGTTCAAAAGAGTACTTTATACATGTTCAGGTTAGATATTGGTCTTGTACATTTTCATTCTCAAATTTCAATCCAATTATAGGCAGGTTGACGCAATGTAGTGTCCTCCCAAAGCAATACTTCTTTATGCTCTATCAAGGATAATAATGTTTCTTTCCTTTGGAATTTCCCCTTCATAATTTTCCTAGCTAGGGGTCTAGGCTCTAGCTCTTTTGAGATAACCTATTTTCCGAGTCTTCTTTAAGCTTGCCACATTAGTTTCCCTGGCAATGGTACATCTGGAACCTTGAACCCTTTTTATGTGCCTTTAGCTACTTAAACTAAACTTAAAATGGTATTCAAATAATAATCTATCATGCCGTAGAAATATAACATCTGTGACACAACTGCCAAACCTCGTTTTATTCTAACGCATCATTCAGCATCATTTCATCTTTCCCAAGAGGCAATGAGGTAATAATTTGTGTTAGGGTTTCATCACTACTAGAAAACCCTACTGTACTGGCCGATAGTATCATATTTTTTGAATGGTTTATAACCGAAATAATTAGTACCAAAGCAACTTTAATCATCTTTAACAAGAGGGATTTCTAGGATCTGGTGTTTCCATTTTTCCCTTCATGTGGCATCCCATTTGTGATCACAAAGCAGTGGCCCTACTGTAGTTTACGTTCATTTTTTTTAAAGAATATCTACGTTATCGCACCCTGTGGTGACTCTTGGAGAGGCTCTCTTTTCTAGCCTATGCTTGATGACAAAGCAACTTTGCTTGTGGATTAATTAAATGAAAATTTTGGAGTGGTATATGTAGATATAGTATGAAAATGGTATCTTCTTCTAGTTGTAATGATGGCCAAGGAGAAAGGTATTGTGAGTAGGTCCTGCCCTTCTCTCAATCTCTTTCTCACCATCATGAGACCCAAGAGATCCTCTGGAGAATCATCTTAAGGGTCAATGCTTTTAAACCCTTGTGGCCAATATAACTGCAGCCTCTCCTAGCTAATTAAAATTCCAATTGCTTATGTCTGATGCAACCCTTAGGTCACAGGGGGTTATAGGATGTTGAAACATAGGAGGAGGATTACTATAAAGTTGTCTGAGATGCTAATGTACAAGGGTTTGTCATTGTGTACTGCGTTAGAAAAATGTGAAATAAGATTGATCAAAGTTTTCTTTACAAAAAGGAAAGGTAATGCTTATGGGAAAGTAACACATGGTTTAATGAATGAGAAAGGAGAGCAAAAGGAAGACAATGAATGACCCTTATACCAATATCTTGTCCATGGGGCCCCACATGTGACCCTAGGGGTACACCAAGCTTCAAAAGACCTGGGTCAATGAGCTATGTCAACCACTTGGTTACATGTATTGCACAAATCTATTTACTCAATGATTACAAAATTTGGGATTGGTCTTGAGAGAGTGACAAAAGATTATCTAGGGTTGAGACTAGGACACTAGTTTTTTCAACTTGCAAAAATTTCAGAGTCAATTTAATGAGTCTACCTTGGTAGAAAACCTTTGTTGTGGGGGATGGATGTGGTACAAGTTGTTTTTAGAGGATTGGTAAAGAGTAAGTGAGATGATTTGAGGATAAAATAAAGTTCTTGATAGTGAAGAGCATGCTTGGTTTCCTCTTTAATGTGTCTCTGTAGTATAATGTTCTTATCCTCTTGAAAACTTTTTTTCTAAGCATGTGGATTCAATTGTCAGCCCACAATTTGCCCATCTTATTACCCTACCAAACTGCCAAAACTTGACCTCTATGCTTGACATTTATTAATCCTTGATTGATATCTCAATCCCTTGAAAACTACTGACAATGATTTATGTACCTAAAAGGCCACTAGAGGGATTTATTTATCATGGCCCTGCAATTATTTTTCTCCAGGAAATTTGCTCCTTTAACCTCAGCTCCTCAGGTGCCTTGCATCAAAATCCATGTTGTATATGCATCCACGTAATATGCAGTGATGCAGCCACATGCTATACGTGCTTACATGTATATGTTTTCGTATTTGGAATTCTTTTGGGTATCGACTTCAGGAAGAGAGAGTTCAGTTGGCAGGAAGAGGAATCACAAAATTTTATGTTAAAATTGTTGTGAATGTTTCTCAAATTATCATTCAGGTGAGGCCTACATCAAGTTTAGTGTGAGTTTATTAGTGATGGATTGAAGATTTGAGTCACTTAATGACTATGAGACTGTCAAATGATGAAATATCGGTAGAATGCTTCTTTTGTTGCATAGTACGTACAGTGAGCCTGAATCTTTGGTGCAAGCTTTTTCTCAAGTGTGAAAGAACTACTCCCTCTGTGAGATGCCAAGTACACTTTTCCTGAGGTACTTTATTCTTGTGCATAATCCTTTCACTGAATTGTAAGTCAAGATCCACACTGTTCACTCTTCAAGGGAACAATTATAGCATGTACTTCTTCTCTTTAGAGATGCAAAACTAATCATCTCCCATCTTAGATAGTTTCAGTTTATGGTTTCTCTTGCCTCTGTAATAATGCCAGTCCACTTGCTGATAGTTGAATATTGAGATGATTAATATTG